GGAGGAAGTTCCTATTCAATAATCCTAAATAAAGAAGACCTTAATAAAGCATTTCTCTGAGCTAATATACATTGGGAAGTTCCCAAGGGAAAATGTGGTTGATACAGCAGTTTGGGGAATGCAGGTGGTTCATTCTGAAATGGAGGTTTGTTCTTATCTCTCAATCTCTTGTCAGAGCAAGTGTCCTCACAATCCTCTAGAGAAGCTCTTGGCAGGCATGGGTTGTTACAATCAAATGTGAAAAGTCTCGTGCAAGTCACTGGTTACCAATGTAGTTACTACATTTGCATTGTTCTGATATTAATTATTAGGTTAAATCTGTAGTAGTGTCTGTTTACTTAAGTTTGCATATATTTTATTCAGTGGAGCAGAAAAAAATGGCATTGCAACTATGGGAAATCCTTTTGTAGCTATCGTCTATCTTATTCATGTTACAATTGATGATCTGGGCCATGTTTGTGAATTTCATCTCTGGCATGCATAACGGTAAGAAAAGAGATTGAAAACTGCTCTCTACTCCACATATTTTATTTTATAGTTGAGATATCTCAGACCTAGAGAGAAAAAGTGACATATAAAAGTTAATGACATCAAAAAATAGTATGCTGGGAACACTGAGACCAATCAGCACTGTACAATATAGCAATCTCTTCTTAGAGAACAGTCATTTGCCACCTTAACGTACATAATCTCTCCTTGTCATTCTACAAAATGCTAAAAGTACAAAGATATTTACTTGTCATATGTTTGTTTGGGTTGTGATCAAATATCACTCTGTTCTTCTAAAAAATGTTATTTTTTCAGCATAGAATCAATAGTTTCACCAAGGTGATCAAAGTACTAGGTTCAGTTCCAATGATTCCAGTTTTAATTTTCAGATTCCTAACCAGATTTACAGAGGATAATAAAACAAGAGCCAAAGTAAAGCCAAACAATAGATGCACAATGACAAAAATAAATAAAATGAAATAAAATAATGAATTAAGAATTATAACATAGCAGGACTAATACATTCACTTATATATCTTAATATATATAATGTATTTATGAATTTAAGTATTTATTGCATGCCTACTATGTGCCAGGCACTATGTGAGGCATTCAGTGAAAACAGAAAAGCCCAGAACATATTCTGATGGCATACCTTATTGTACAAAAGGAGACCAGCTCTTAAACAAATAAGCTCATTGGTAAATATATAATTAGAAATCATCAAAAGTGGCAGAAGTGGCAGGTACATGGCACTTTCGGCCTACGTACAACAGGAAAATCTAATCTCCATTTCAGGAATCAGAGGAGGCTGCTTTGAGGAAGTAATGTTTAACTTGATGCTTGGAAGATGCATGAGTAGGGGGCTGGTGAGTGATAGCAGGAGCCCTATGGGCAGAGGGCCTGGGAGAAGTTTGGAGGTTAGAGAAAACAGAGTGAAAGCTGCATCTTCTGTGGAGCCTCTTGGTTGTATTAAAGGTTTGACTATTGCCCAGAGCAATGGAAATCATTGAAGGAGTTTACACAGAGGACTGATGTCATTCTTTTTGCTTTTATAAAAGGTCTTTCTGAAAGGATATAACTGAAAGAAAAGAATTAGCAAGTAATTTAGTGATCTAAGCTGTAGTTGGTGGTGGCTCGGACCAAGATGGTTAGGAGTGAGATATTATTTCCCCAGGGTTGCGGGGAAGGAACATAAGATGGATAGATAGGGATTATTCTGTAAATGACTTTAGGTCTTGGACCTTGGTACTTAATATACTGTGTATCTCACAGCCTAAAGCTGAGCCTCATGCATGGTATTACATAAGCTTTTCTCAAATTATTGGATGAATGAGTAATTGAGCAGATAAAAGATGGAGAGCTCAGAAATATCTACTTTACATCTTACATAACCTCATATGGTAATAGAAGACCATTTACTGAAAGGGGAAGGGTGGAAGTAAATAAGATCTGGACGCAGGAGTAATGAAGAGTTCAATCACAGACATATTAAGCTTCTGATTCTATGAGACAGAATATTGGCCCCCAGATATGCCCTACCTACAAATATGTTACCTCACATGGCAAAAGAAGCTCTATAGATGTGATTAAGGTTAAGGAGCTCACAACAGGGGAAATTGTTCTGGATTGTCCAAGTGGGGCACAATGCAATCATGCAAGCCCTTAGAACTACAAAAGGTTGGGAACAGAATAGATCAGAGGGATGATATGGAAGAAGAAAGAGGAGAGGGTCAAAAGTGTGAGAGTACCTTGACCCATTATTGCTGACTTTAAAGATGGAGGAGATGGCCATGGACTATGGGTGGCCTCTAGAAGCTGAGAATGGTCCTCATATGACAACCGAAAAGGAGGTGGGGATCTCAATCCTACAACTCAAAGCAACTGAATTCTGTCAACAACTCCAATAAGCAAGGAACTCAGTAAGTGAACTTCCCCTACAGCCTCCGGAAAGAAACACAGCCCTGCCTGTACTTTGATTGTAACCTGGTGAGACGCCTGTTGAACTTCTGACCTATGGAGCCATAGAATAATAAACTTGTCTTTTGTAAACTGTTAAATTTGTGGTCATTCGTTATGGCAGGTATAGAAAACTAACAGAGATATGTATGAGGCATTCTTGTGGAGATGGCTAAGCAGCTAGAGGTGTATAAAACACTACTACACAACACCCCCCCCACACACACATGTATGCACACACACACACACACACACACACACACACACATTAGTCGAATGGAATCATTACATAATACACCTTCCATTATATGGATGAATGAAAACATAATTTGAACAAGAATCATTTAAATTACCGGTTATATAAATGATTGATTTTGTGATTGTAAGAATTCCCACAGACAGAAAAAGTCACTGAAATTTCCACGAATGTCGCCATTAAGAAATAAGAGCTATTTATATTATATTACTGGAGTACATTTTTCTATTTACTTATGCAATGATTTCAGACCAAAAAAGAGGGGGGGACTTTTCTTTTTTTTCCCCTGAGGGGGCTATTGTTGTCGTTTGATTTTTCCTCTGAGTGACAAGCTTGACGAATTTGTCAGTAATTTGTATGGCAAATTTTAGGCGCAATGTAAAGAATGTATGTCAATGGAAACCCTTCAACTCGTTCGCTGTGTTTCTTCCTCTTTGGGCATTCCTGCAGTGCCTTCTCTGTCTGTTCTCAGGCTTTAAACCTCAAGCATTTGTGTTTAGATGAGTCGAAGGGGCAAATCCCACTGGAATGTCTGGCATTAAGACATAGAGAAGGAGCAGAGTGGCAAACATGACTCACGTCTTGGACTTTACCACTTTACCTCAAACAAGGCATAAGCATTCAGCCATGCCCCCAACATGTTTTGCCAGAATTTGTAAACTTGGATATACATCTGCATTTATGCTACTAAAATCCATCCTATTGCATTCCAGGCTTTGTGGATATTAAGTGATTTTATTATATCCATAGCTCATAATGCAGTCATGTGTCTTCCTTCCTTTCCTTAACAACAGTTTTAGGACAAGATTATACTACAGTTCATGGCTTCTAATACTTACTCCAGTTTCTTTGAGAACCAGTAGCATTACTGAACACAAAATGCAAAATAGTTAATAGTAAGAGTCATCATTTATATCACACTTGAGTTTGGATAAGATTAATTCTCATAACACTCCATTGGATGAATATTCACTTGAAATTTACACATTTTATTTGATGCAAAGTGATTGTGATGCAACTTAAAAATTTTATTTAATATGTTATTATGATAACAATAACTCTCAATTATCATTTGGAGATTGTATTCCAATATTGAAAAAGAGCCCTTTGCAAGTGCTTCCCAGTTATGATATCTTGACTCTCTTTTGGGTTTGGGAGCAGATTTAGTTTTATTTATTTATTTATTTATTTTTTTAAAGATTTTATTTATTTATTTGACAGAGAGAGATCACAAGTAGACAAAGAGGCAGGCGGAGAGGGAGAGAGGGAAGCAGGCTCCCTGCTGAGCAAAGAGCCCGATGCGGGACTCGATCCCAGGACCTGAGATCATGACCTGAGCCGAAGGCAGTGGCTTAACCCACTGAGCCACCCAGGCGCCCGCAGATTTAGTTTTAAATCTCAGTTTCATGTATTTATTTATTTCAACATTCATTAATTCCAGAAATATTTATCAAGTAGTTTTATATGTACCAGAACTGGGGCACTGTATATTTATTTCTTATGTAGCTGTAAGCAAGAGCTTTAAATTCCATAAGACACCATTCTCTTATTTACAAAATGGGAACAACTGTATTTATTCATAAGATCATGGTGAGGATTGGGCACCTGGGTGGCTCAGTCAGTTAAGTGTCTGCTTTCAGCTCAGGTCATAATCTCAGGGTCCTGGGATCAAGTCCCACATTGAGCTCTTTGCTTAGTGGGGAGCCTGCATCTCCCTCTCTTTCTGCCCCTCCCTTGCTTGTATGCTCTCTCTCTCTTGCTTTCTCTCAAATAAATAAAAATAAAATCTTAAATAACATGGTGAGGATTAAATGAGATATACAGTGCTTGAGAAAAATATGTAGGAAAATGAATAAACAAAGTGTTTAAACAAAAAGTACTATAGCATCTTAAGTTGTCATCTAGTACATTATGTTACATTAATTAAAAACTACCTGTGTTTTCCTGATTTAGAATTCAAAATCATTAAAGAAATGATAGTACAGGAAAAATCCAGTTTTTTATAATGTGAGTTTTCTTTTACAATATTGTTATTGTTAATGATATTAGCAATGTATGTCACAGTCATTCTGAATGAAGAATAATTCAACGACAGTGCATTTCTTTTCAGGTTCTAGACTTTTGCATTACATCATCATTATCTTTTTCAGTTTTCCAGAAAAAAGAATTTTCAGTTGAAAATATGCCATGATTTTTCAACTGTCCCCTTCTAGCAGAGCACCATAGCAAAATGTAATGTGCAAAAAGCATGGCAAAACGTACTAGGTGAATGCCTCTGTTTTTCATCTCTGTTCAGGCAACAGACCCTGATGCTGGTATAAACGGCCAAGTGCACTACAGTTTGGGCAACTTCAATAACCTCTTTCGCATCACATCCAATGGGAGCATTTACACAGCAGTGAAGCTTAACAGAGAGGTCAGGGACTACTACGAGCTTGTTGTTGTAGCCACAGATGGAGCCGTGCATCCCCGCCACTCGACGCTCACACTAGCCATCAAAGTTTTGGATATTGATGATAACAGCCCCGTGTTCACCAATTCAACATACACTGTCGTCGTGGAGGAGAATCTGCCAGCTGGGACCACCTTCCTCCAGATAGAGGTATGTGGGGATGCAGACAAGTCCTGGATCCCACATTAGAAGATTTGCTGTCTGCGGAAGGTTGCAGATTTAGCAAATAAAAAGAAAACACACCCAGTTAAATTCTAATTTCAGATAAAAAATGAGTAAAGTTTTAATAGAAGTATCTTCCTCATATTGCATATCAGTTTTATGTAACAACATTACTTCAGGGATATACCAACAATTAAGAGGAGAAAAGGTGCACTTCTAAGAAATCAAATAAGATGTCTAATAATTTTTTTAATTTATAAGATCAGTGCTATATATTTACTGTAAAAATTGACAATATAATACTCTATAAAGAAAAATTTAATAATCTCCCACTTTGTACCTCCAGAGTACTCAGTGTTAAATTTTTAAGTGTATTCTGTGTTGTGCTCACACAATATGAAATAAAATATTTTCATATTTACATACAAGTAAATGTAGGCAGGTGTGTGCATATATACCTATGTATGCATGTATTCAAATAAATATTTCCATATTTATGTATATGTAAATAGGCATTATGCCAGTATATACATGCATAACTACATATGTACATATTCAAATAAATAGTTCTATATTTACATATATGTAAATGCACATTATTCAGGTATGTGCATACACCTATGTTTGTGTGTATGTGTGTATACGTATAGATACATATGGACACATTTCTGTACATACACACACCCACACATACCCAGGTAGAGATTTACCCTATATTTTATAGAAAGAGGATATTGCTGAACCCATTATTTTTTTCACTTCTGGTGAACAACTGGCATCCTTCCAGAGGACTGACTCTCCTTTTGAACAGTGCCCCCATATCCAAGCCTTTTTTCAGTCCTTGGCTATAGTACCACCAGAAACTCTGGACATTCTGATTCAGTAGGTTAGGTAGCTTATGTTGGCTAGAAATCTGCATTTTAAGCAACCACCCCTTTTAATTTTGACATAGATGGTCTACAAAGTATAATTTTTGGGGGAAAAAAAGATTCTAACAAAAAAATTATAAAAAAGAAGAAAAAAAGATTCTAGTCCTTCCTTGACCTGCCATCCACAACTTGAACTCTGTTAGCATGGGTTTCAAGAACTTGCATTTTTTTCATAATTTAACTCAATAAATATTTAGGCAAAAACATTAATCTAAAAAGGGCAGGTGCCAGCCAGGGAAAGGTCCATATTTCTCCATTTATTCTTCCGTTCATCTGTTCATTTATTCATCCATTTATTCAACATGGGTATTTCCAGTGTTTATTGAATGCCAACTCCTCTGCTGGACTTTGGGGATTCTAACATGGAAAGACACATTTCCTGCCTTCATTGGGTTCTCAGTCTGGCGTGGCAAACAGACAAGTAAATCCTTGATTGCGATAGAGGTTCTTAGAGCAAAGGGCCTCAGAGATGACAGGTGGAACTCTCAATCTAATCTTGAGAGTTTAGAAATCTGGTCTTGAGATTTAGACAGTTGCATTCTACAGTGTCAACTGAGGAGCAAGTAAGAGTTATTCTAGCAAAGAAGAAGAAATCTTATTCAAGGCATTGGAACGAACCTGCTTGAGATCCTAGAGAGGAGACAGGGAAGAGCTACAGGCTAGAAATTCTTTGGATCCTCCTGTCTATGTTCAGGAGAGTGAAGTTAACCCAAAATGGAGTGGAAAACAAGAAGGATTTTAGATAGGAAAATGACATAATCAAATCTGTGTTTTCCCAATGTCTTCTTGTGATGATGGTAACTGACTGCAGGGAGCCAAGGCAGAAGTTCACATAGCAGATGCATGGGTTCCTGTGTGCGTGTCCTAACACAGCTCATATCCCCCTATCCCCCTGATCCTGTTCCAGTTCCTTCACCAGAGCTGCCTCGGTCAGTCTGTCCTCGTCATCCTGGGAGAACTACTGCTAAAACACATCACCCCCAATTCTGAACACCTCTCAATTGCCATGTCCCTGTTTTCTTTCTATTGTGGTATTTGTGTCCTTTTTTTTTTTTTTTTTTTTTTTTGAGACATTAACCTGGAGGGCAGGATTTGTGTCTTGGTTCATCTTGTGCTTCTCCTGCATAATAACTACTCCATAAAGGTTAATCAAGTGAAGGAAGTATAGTAAACTGAGCCTTAGGAATATTATAGAATCCTTGTAAGGAGAAATTATTGCTTAAATTTCCTTCATTTCCTTATACTCCATTAATAATCTGTCATGTTTTTGAAAAAACACCCAATAAAACTTTATTTATATTTAAAAGATTATTTTTCAAAGTTATTCAATTAGCAGGAAATAATATAATAATTTATGACAGTAGTCATTTTTTTACAGTGATATGATTCTTTTAGTTAATGATTTCTCAGGGAAAATAAATACAGTAATAAAATTTTTTTTAAAAAAGACAAAATGTCATGAATGTCTGTCTCTCTGCCTCTGTTTCTCCCTCTTTCTCTCTTTGGTAAATTACTTAATAAACGTCTTGTCTCTGAAACATGCCTTGTGATCATTGTTAAGTTCATGCTGTCCTGGGTGCTGACCCGTGACCTCCACCAGCCTTGCATTCCTCTGGTTTGGTAATACCACTGATACCATCGTCTTTCTGCTTTACTTCTTACAGGCCAAGGATGTTGACCTTGGAGCAAATGTGTCTTATCGGATCCGAAGCCCGGAAGTAAAGCACTTTTTTGCACTACATCCATTTACAGGAGAACTCTCCCTTTTAAGGAGTTTGGACTATGAGTCATTTCCAGAGCAGGAAGCAAGCATCACATTTCTCGTGGAGGCCTTTGATATTTATGGAATGATGCCACCTGGCATTGCTACGGTCACAGTGATAGTAAAGGTAAGGAGCACGGATAACTCCTGGTGGCTAACTCCATACTCTCTTCTGAGTTTGAACTATATTAAATATCCAGGGCTGCTATTCTTAAAAACACAGTAGTACCGGACCCAGAACATACAGTCTGGAATGTGTTAGACTTGAGAAGGAGCCAAATTGTTGAAGTAGGATAGATACATTTGAACAAAATACTAAATAAGAATTTAAATACTGTGGCTGCCCAAATGTTCCCATAGCTCTGAAATTTTATTTATTTATTTTAATTTTTTAAAAAATTTTTTAAAAAATTTATTTGACAGAGAGAGAGAGAGAGATCCCAAGCAAGAAGAGAGGCAGGCAGAGACAGAGAGGGAAGCAGATCCCCCACTGAGCAGAGAGCCCAGTGCAGGGCTCGATCCCAGGACCCCGAGACCATGACCCAAGCTCAAGGCAGAGGACCAACCCACTGAGCCACCCAGGCTCCCCAGTTCTACGATTTTAATCTAGTCCCAATTTCTTTAGACTAGTTTATTCCAAATTTCACAGCACCAGGGATCATAATTTCATCCAAACCCTTCAATTTAAAAATTTTAAAAAGAAAAGATTACGGAAGAAGCAAGAGTTCTAAGGCCCCAGAGCTAATTAGTCTGTAATCTGAGATTCTGGAATGAAATAAGCTTTGGGACTGAATGGAATCAGAGTCAAGCTCGGCTCAGCCATGTTCAAGGTTTGTGACCATGAGGCCTTCATTGGCCGTGCCAGATTTCCTGTCTCATTCATTGTGATCACATGTGCCAAGTGATTGCTTCAGAGAGCATGGTATCTTTGACCTTTTGACATTTGAGTGATTTTAAGGTGTGCCTTTAAAAGAAGACATGAGGAGAGATTTATCAGTTCTCAAACATTAGTGTAGGTAAAGGTCACCTGAGCTGTGTCCTAAACTGTCAGATTGCTCTGTTCCTTCCCAAAGGAGCCCTCTTCCCATGGGGAAGGCATCACCAGTGCTTTTCTGTAGATGGATTTTTGCTTAGAATGAAAGGAAGTTCGGTACTGGGGATGACTCCAATTCTTGAAAGGTTCTCTCAAGAGAGAGGAGATGAATGCAAGTTCATAAGGTACACAAGGTCATAAGGTATATAAGGTCATAGACAATGTTTCTACTATGCTCATTTTTTTTGTTTTTTTTTTTTTTTGCATTTTTTGTTTTGTTTTTTTACTATGTTAATTTTTGTAGGTTACTGCAATATGGAAATGGTGGAATAAGAAATAATCACTTTTTTGGGGTTTTTGTTTGACTGTTTAACTGATAACTCATACATACTACTGGTTTTCTTAGACAATAAAATACTGGTATGAATACACAGAAGATTGTTAGAGACTGTGCCAATATAGAATTAGCATGACATTGTTTATCATATAGGTAACTACTCTAATGTTAGTCACTATAAGATCTTTAGGTCTGGGTTTTAGTTTTTTGTTTTGTTTTATTATTTTATAGATACTCCTGCAGTCAAACAGGGACACAGAAATTATTCCACTGTCTCCTCTTTACACTTGACCTAGCTGGCCTGCCAGTGCACACCTGATATTTCTTCCCTGGGGACTTGCTGTCTCCCCTAAATTATTGGGACACATGCATCCCTTGTATTCTCAGATGCCTGAAGGCTGTCTGGAGAGTCTTATCAGGGTCTGACCTCCTTCTTTCTCAGGCATCCACAATGGCTTTTTACCTACTTCTTCCATCGTGTGTCTCTCTAGCCTAAGAATTTTTATACACACACACACACACACACACACACACATTTGGAGAGTTAAAATTTTATGCAGCATTAAGTCCTCTTTGGGAATAGAGATTTGAGTTATTAGACTCTTTCCTGCGGTCTAAATTCAGTTTGTGTGTCTCTTTCCCAAGACTAACGTTCCAGTGATGGGAGAAGGATGGATCACTGATGGCCCAAGAGGTTTTAGTTCATATTTTAAAATACAATTTTGCCACACTATTGTGGTATGACATTTAGAAATTTAGAAATCTGTTTACAAAAATACTTTAGGGACATGATAATGTTTTACTTATGAAGATATCTCAACAAGTAAAGAAATGAAGAAGGCGAAGATAAGCCTGACCTGAGTGAACTAACAATATGGTGGAATGGCTCAGGACCAAGTGAAAACTTAGGCCATCTTACCCTGTCTACATTTGCCTAGCCCTGTGGTTTGGTGGAAATGACCACACACACACACACACACACACACACACACACACACACAAAATTAAAGATAGAAAAATGGCCATTTATTTGGCTGTTTTGAACAATAAGGGAAGACTTGCCACTAATGACTTTGCACATTCTTCCCAGACACACAGATGGATACTTAATGGGATGGCCTTGTGTCTCAGGATGGGTGTGGTTCATCAAGGAGATGGTTCATCATCTAACCCATCACAGACTCTGACTTGGTTGCTCTGGATTCAGTGTAGATTGATTTGTTTGGATTTTTTTTTTTTTTTTTTTTGATAGAAGTCTTTGGAGTTGGATTAGATCCAAAAATATCATCTAATCAAGCAGAAAGTGCTCTAAATAAGTCTTGGTCTCTACCTGGGACTGAAGTTTCTTAAACTGGATTTCATGTTCCCTGATCACCCCTTTATTTTAATATATGGGTGTCCCCTAAGGCTACCACATTGGCATGTGGAAAGGGTTTGCTCATCAATAGACTCATTCTTTCTTCAGAAGCAGAAGGGTGTTGATCTAATTTTTGTTGTCTCCATTGCTTTACCTTATTTAGAGAAATCAAACGATTTTATTGGTCAGGTCTTCCTGACCTGTAATAAATTATTTCTGATTTATTATACATTTATGATAAAACTTAATCAACCAGCATTCAATTCTAGTTATTTTTTTTCTTTTAAAGATTTTATTTCTTTATTTATTTGAAAGAGAGAAAGAAGACACACAAGCGTGCGCAGGCTGGGAGGAGCACAGGGGAAGGGAGAGGGCGGGATAAGGAATCTGAGGCGGACTCTATGCTGAGTATGGAGCCCGCCACAGGCCTTGATCTCACAACCTTGAAACTCATGACCTAAGCTGAAACCGAGAGTTGTCCCCTTAAACCAGCCACCCAGGTGCCCCAATTCTAGACATTTCCAATGCCACATCCTTTTTTCAAGGTGATGAAAGCATAATAAAATTTGCAGAACATTTCCCCAAATGCAGGCTGATGCTTGCTTTTCTCTTTTCTGGTCGCTCAGGGTGACATTATCCCAGAGAAGAACTTTAAAACTATTACCTAATATTGGAGCCCATAAAAACATTGTGCTTGTTTGTTTTGAAGGGAAGAATGGAATACAATTCCCATTTCTCCACAAATGTAGGTCTTTCCTAAGCATGCAGATTTTCTGTCATTGTTCTGTTTACTTGCAGTATGACAAGCTGTTTTGCTGATAACATAATTGCATAGTACTTGCTAAGAGATATTTCTACCCAAAACAGTCACCACAGGGGAAGCATCTTGAAGATCTCTCTTTGAAAATGAGAAGACACATAATTTTCTTTTGTAAAGAAGAAGAAGATAAAAAAAGATCAAATGCTTAATATCTAGTCTATCAAACATTTCTAATTGGAGTGAGAGTGGGAAAACTGAAGTGATATTTGGAAAGAAAGCTATATCAACTGTAGAAAGAAAGTAGAATTTTATCATAGGTACCCGCAGAGTGCTTTCTTAGTGATCCAGAACAAAACCAATGATGACCAAATGCATAATATGTGTTTTTGTTGCAATGTTTCTGCAGAACACGGAAACACAAGGCTTCTTCACTGTAAATTTTATTGCATATACTGAATAATGGAATATATAATGATAAATTAGATGATGTGAGTAAATCTCTGAAAAATAAAAATCAAATTCTATACAGTTTCAGGCATATAATCCAGAGAAAAATCTGTCCTTACAAACGGAGTTGTGATATAATATAGAAATATGCAGAAAGAAAAGGTCTATCTCTGTGATAAACCAAAAGTGGAAGACCAGTGAGAAAAGTCGAAATGTGTAATGGCTCTGCGATACTGGACAGCCTCGTGAAGGATTGTCTAAGACGAGAAGATGACCTAAGTCCTTCTGTTTATTGTCACCCTGGTGGGGGAATGGCTGCGACACAAGCGGATGAGGGAGACCCTTCCGTGCAGGAAGGAGACTTGGCTCACCAGCTGTGTTTGCCTGTCCTACAGGTGCAGGTATGACCATAGGCAGGGAGAACTGGAAGGACCAGAAGTGAAATAATATCTACGAGGACCAACTGTTGAGAAATTCAGGGAGTCTTAGAAGATGGAGCTAGTTTTCATCTTTCAGAGGTGTTTTCTAGCCAGCAGGAAGACAAATGTCTTTATCCCCATAGAATATAGGAATGAGGATAACTTTTCTAGAGAGAATCTCAACGCCAGGTACAAAGGCAGCATTGTCATACCATAGACACCTGATAGGTGGTGATGTGCCATTGATGTTCCATGGTGACCCTATGGGCAGAGTCCTGTATTTCATTCGGTCAGAGGAAGCTCTGGAGAGTTTAAGATTTATAGCATCCTCCTTCCCTTTCTCAGGAGGGAGAAAATGGAACAAAAAGAGGATCTCAATGAGCCAGGTAGGGGGATCTAATTGGGTTGATTGGGTTGATCATTGTTTTTTTACCACTTGCTGACTTTTCCCTGAGTGCTGGCTAAACTGGAGAAAATACTTGTTTTGGACTGTGGCATTCAAATATTCCTCTTTAGTCTATTCTTGGTTATCACATTCTTATTGGTGTCATCTTTCTGATGTATTCACTGGCAAGTTTGAAGAGTGCAAATGTATCAGGAAGAGCACACCAAGGGGTGGCATTCTTACAGCAATTCTTACAGCATCTGCATACTCTACTATTCTAGAGTTTTACGACTGAGCTGTGACATATTTCCCCTAAACAACCAAACTAGAGGAAACAAATGAAAAGGTACCTGCTCAGAGTTAGCAGTAATAATTCACATTTCTGTGGG